GAACCCGTCCGCAATACTCGAGGTTGGTGCTCATCTTACGGTTGCCTGCATGTGATACGGGTGGCACTTCCGCACGACACCTGTCCGGTATCTCCGAAGGCAGATAAAGCCAGTATGGACATAGCTCTCGGCTTACGGAAGTGATGTTCCGGTGGACTACATCGCAATTAGTGGTCGGATCTGCGCCGTCCTGATAGCCGGCTCGTTCAAAACTTCGAAGTCGAGTAGGGAAACACAGTGCCTGTTCGTCATTCTGACTTACGTCCCCACATTCTGTAAAGTTGACTCGGTGAAGAATGACTTCTATCATCAAAAGAACGGGTTCCTTCGTTACAAAGTTCCGGTACGGAACAGTTGTTATAGCTGAGTTTTAGCAGGGTAGGTTCCCATAATGAGAGCGGCTGTTACACATGTGTGAAGATACTCGTCCCTCGCTAGGGCTAACCTCCGAAACAGCACACGTCGATGGCGCCCAACAGTTATGGACGCAAATCAATCACATCGCGACCAGTCACCGTTGGAAGGGTTGTGTTCAAAAAAAATCACTCGACTTGGAACACAAGTGGGTATAGACCATTAACTTATGTGTACTTATGCACATTTCGGCGACGTCCGCGATAATGCTATGAGCGTATAAACAATCGCCAATTGGCGAAAGCAGATGTTCCGAATGCGTAACAAAGTACACTGGTACTTGAACTTAGTAAGCGCTCAATGAACCCATTTGAAGATCAGGGGTCACATTGTCATCAAAAGTAATCAGCAATAGGCATGATTTCGTGTGGTAAATCCAATAATCCACCTGAACACTGGGTCTCTATGCAGTCTCATCGATGTTCGCTGACACATTCCGACTGGAAGCAAACACAAGGAGATCGCGCGCTAGCCTAAGGAGAGACATCGATGCATGGGGGCCTCAGGGAGCATCGGAGATAAACGCAAATGCTGTCATTGGAAACCATGGGAAGCAATTATGTTAGGAGTCCCAAGATACTAGAGTCACTCTGTTATGGTCCCCATTTTCAAAGGAGGCTCATGTTCGAGATGCGACAATCATAATGGGATCAGACTGATCTCAAATGCTTCTAAGTTGTTTGTGCCTGTTCTTCACCCTAGACTGATTAGCACCCGTGAAGGTCACAGCCGTGAGCAGCAAGCCGGGATTCGTCAAAATCGATCTTACACAGAACACCCTCACATTCCGCCAGTTATTGGAACACCGCCACGCAAATTGGCGATCTACCCTAGTTGTGTTTCTCGACACCAAACGTGCTTCTGATTTGGTGGGTTGATGTGCTCCTTAGGAATGTCTACTTAGGAAATGTGGGCTAAGGAAATACGTAAACATTATAAGAGCGCTTTACGCGCGTAGTTCGCGCAGAGTGAAGGCAGGTGGTCATTTGTTGCCATCCCTCACTATAGCCATCTATATGAGACAAAAACGACTGCCAGCACCATTCATTTTCTACCTCCCAATGACGAAGTTATGGAAGCTGTGTTCACCAGACACGACTTGGAAGGTGTGGATCTGTTTTCAGTTGATCTCCTTATTAGTTTGGTGTGTCCCGAAGATATTGTCCGAAGCCATGACAGGTCACAAAGATGTCAAGTAGCCCTGAACAGATTAGCACTAACTGTCAGTCCTCTTGGACTGTGAGGCCTGATCAGTTAGACCAGCAGACATAAAGGAGTCAGATGCGTCTTTCTTGTGGTGCAGAAAGGGCGAGTGAGCCGTTCGGAATCACTAGTTCATGCACACCAGCAGACTGAGTGCCGCGTTCTGCTTTGTTTGCACGTCCGGAGTGTGGATGGAAGAAAAGGGGAGGAGACTAGTCGACGATTTGATAAAATGAAGTCCCTCACTTCAAGCAAGACATCGACTGGAGGCTCCCGATTCGGGGCCCGACAGACAGTGAATACACTTGATTGGATACCCCTCTGTTGAAAGGGCGAAGAGCTGACCTCAAGAGTGTTCATGTTGTGATTTTCTTTATCTCTCCGCCTCCCGCTTAGCGTCCCCTCTCGAACCACACGTGTGCTCAGTATTGACGTGTAATAAGATAAATCAAAGAATAATACTGCTTCTATGGCATAGTATTGCGGCACAGTGGCGGTGATGTTTCTTACGTCCATCTAGCCCGTAGAATGGTGATGATGATGGTAGCGGGAAATGAAGTCACTAACGAGTGAACTTGGGTGCTGTCAACCCGTCTCGCCTTCCAGGCTGAAGTCAACAAGACGCACATTGCGCATAATTCGAGACACTACAGGACATGGCTAGCAGTCGGCACCAGTGCCGTGTTTGCTATCGTTCAATCGGACTGCCTGTTCAAGGTGCGTTTGGTGCCGCTATCTGCGGGGTAAGGACTGTACGTGACACGGAGCAGTGAAAGTTGCAAGGAAGCTGCCACTTTACTTTTGCACGATAGCCAACTGCTTGTGACAGTATGTTGTTGACACAATGTGTAGGCGCCTTGACCCTGGATGTTTGCTTAGGGCATTCAAGCTTTACGCTAGATCCCCGTTGTCTTCTCCTTATTATTCTTCGTTCCGTAGATCAACATGGTTGTATGGTAGCGAAGCATCAGCTCAAATGGCTGAAGTAATAGGGAAAGCCAGAGTAATGCGAACAAGTACGAACGCGTGATCAGAAACCAGATAGGTGCCTCATACAAGCCGACACTCCTGTACTGGAGTGCATCGCCTATGGATGGCAGCGATGTGGTGAATTGCAAATCAGGGTGTCCAGTCGTTCGGTAGCCAGATGCGAATGCTTGTGATGGAAAGAACACCTGCTGCTGAAAAACAAACTATGTTCGACACAACTGAAGAAAGTGGTTACCATTGCCAGTTCAAGTAGCACTGATATTTGAACGTTTCGGGATGCGGTGTGCATACTCTATGAGGGGTTTAAGCATTGATGTAACATGTAACGATCACGAAATCCCTAACTTTGGCTATTCGGATAAGAAAGATAACTGAGCATAGGATTCGTGCTTGACGGTCTTCGGATTGCAAGCATAGGGGGCGATCCGCCTTGGGCGGCGTATGATAGAGTGGGTGGCACTGTTAAAACAGATGATTGTTCATACCAAGTGTAAAATAAAGTGGTAAAATGAAGGGTGATAAACACATTGAGACCGAAGATGAAAGTGGTACTCCAAACGTTGATATCTGGGCAACAGAAAGCCACAGTGACATAATGGGTACAGCGGGAAATGTTTGTCATGCTGATGGCGAACATGTGCGTAGTTAAAACATTGGAAATGCAAGCACACTTCGGCCCTGTGACATGCACATCAAGCGATTTTACAGATGCATGTCACTGGCCTGTTAAGACTGGCTATGAAATTCGCCCTATGCTTGTCCGACTCCGATCTACTATCGTGTAGCACCTCGGTCATGAATTCAATACAAGGATAGGCGGTTGAGGTCTTGCTGAAGTTGGCCACAATCGTCGGGAGCGTCAATTTCTCTCCAAATCTTTATGTCCTGCGCAAACAAAGCAAAGAACGACCGGAGAAGCTGCGGTAGATCGTTGATGTGGATCAGGAACAGACTGGGCCCCAGCACAGTGCCTTGAGGCACGCCACTTGTAGAGGGGTACCAGTCAGTTAGATGGTCGTCCACATGTACCCTCCATTTTCGTCCAACAAGAAAGTCGCGGATCCACCGGTGCAGTGAGCCACCGACACCACACATACTGAGTTTGTGAAAGAGAACCTCATGGCTGACCCTGTCGTACGCTTTACTGAAATCGATGAATATCACGTCGACGGACTTTCCCTTGCTTATTGATTTCAACCACTCATGCCTCGTCACAAGGAGGTTCGTAATGCATGAGCGATCTTGCAAAAAACCATGATGTGCGAGCGTCAGGACCTCGTTTGACTGTAGCAACTGCAGCAATACCTTCTTCACAATATTTTGCCAAAATAGGTGTCAGACAAACTGGCCTGTAGTTGTGTACTTTGCTAAAGTCGCTGCCTGTCGGAACAGGCTCCATCACCGAACATTTCCAGTCAACCGGCAACGAACCTTCGGACAATGACTTGTCAATTACGACAGGAGAGAGGATGGTTGAAAGTGACTTGAGATCCAGTGGGTGAAGCTCATCAGGTCCGGCAGATTTGGTGTCGTCAAGGTTAGCGAGTAGTTGACATACCTCTTCAACGCCGCAATGCAGACTATCGAGTTCGGTAAAAGCGGTACACGTCGAACTCGGAACAGACACCTGGTTATTCGCAAATACAGAAGCGAAGTGTGCCGTCAACGCGGACGCACGCTCAGTGCTGGAGGTTAGGCGCTGTCCATCCGGGCCATCCAGCACTGGCACATCACCTGCCGGCTTCAGGTGTCACTTCACGTATGCAAAGATTCTCTTTCGGGGCGGTCTTCGCGGCTACTGCGAGCTGCTCTTCGAAATATCGGCGTTTATTCTTTTTTGCACTGTTGCAGAGGTTCCGCTGACATTTATACCCTTCGTAATCATTGGCAGACCCAGAGAGGAGGAATTTGTCCCACAGTCTGCGCCGCCTCCGAGCCAGGTTTCCACACTCCTTCTCAAACCAATGAGGCTTAATCGGTCTAACCTTCCGACATTTCAATGGCCCAAATTGGGAACACAATGATGTCAATCTCTCATTAAATTTTGTTCACGGGTACAGAATCGGTACTCTCTAAAGTTAGATCTTTGACTGTTGTTATATGAAATGAAATATTAAAAAGTCTACGGATTTACAACTGTCAGGGGTGCGACAATTTCACGTTCGCCCCGGGCGGCAAAAGCATTGTTACGCCGCTGAAGCACTTGGAACGCGAACCAAAACGACAAAAGACGTCCTTCTTCGGTCACTGCTCTGTGACTTCAATGGAGCTACGAAGTCGAATAGCAGATATACTGCTGTTCTCACGGATGCAATTGAAAAACCACATATAAACAATTAGTACCGATAGGATAAAGGAAAAGTGCATGTATCCTGACTGATGTCCGTGGTTACCTTTTTGGGTTGGGAAGTTTCGGTCCCATATGCTCATCCGCAGGCGCTGCCGATTGGGGTGCCGAGATGCGTCCATTGCGCTCACCGTGTTCGAACCCAACTGACCCAGAACGTGACGCACGGGTGAGGGAGATTGGGACGGACGAGAGAAGTGATGCAGCACACTGGAGTCCGACCGTGGTCTCGATAAAGCTGGTGGACAAAACTGAACGGCAAAGGACAGTGTATTTGTTCTATGGTAACTTAAAACTGCCGACGTGACTCATGCAATTGTCGTAAAAGAGAGCAATAATCCGGGAATAAACCCGTATAAGTCGACCTGGTGGAGAAAAGTAGAGAGGTCGGGGTCATACATACCAAAGCTTGTAACCAAACACAATGAAATGGTGGTGAAGAATAGATCTACAACTTACGTAAAAGAAGAACTACAGCTTTCGCGTATCAATAGATGACGTGTTCACGCTGCAGCACTCACTCGCACTTGTATTAGATTGCGATTTTTTGATATTTTTATTTTAATGGTTGTTTTGAATAATTTTTACAAGCTGCTCTGACCTTGTATACCGTTTTGAAGTCTGTTTTGCGATCTATCTAGCAATTGTCATAGTTTAGCACAGAAACACGTGTTCACATGTCCACAGAACATTTAATACAACGTGGGCAGAAGAAAAATTCGCACAATTTTCTTGTACCAATTAAAACGTTGTGGAAATACAGCGGAAACAGCACATGACATCAACAGCGCATTTGGTGCTGAAACCATTACTAAGCGTACTGCAAAATGGTGGTTTCAAAAATTTCGAAAAGGTTACGCGAGGCTTGAAGATGAAGAGCGTTGTGGACGGCCATTGGAAGTGAACAATGATCCAGTAAAGGCCTTAATTAAAGCATATCTGCGTAAAACTGTTCAAGATCTTGCTGCTGCTTTAGCAGCATCGTATGTGACAATTTTAAAACACTTACGGGAGAGTGGAATGTCGAAAAAGCTTGATAAGTGGGTGCCGCTCGAATCGAATGAAAGTCAAAGAAAACGTCGTTTTGAGGTGTCGTCTGCCCTTCTACTGCGCAATAAAAACAACTCGCTTCTCGACAGGATTGTGAATCGCGATAGAAAATGGATCCTTTACGACAATCAACGACAAACCTCTCGATGAATGAACAACGGTCAAACTCCACAATACAACCCAAAGCCGTAATTGCACCCAAAAAATTATGCTGGCTGTTTGGTGCTCTGCACCTGGCCTGATCCACCACGTATTTCAGAATCCAAAGAAAACCAGTACATCGGAGCGGTAGTGTCATCAAATTTTCGAAATGCACCGAAAGCTTAAAGACAGGTGCCCAGCACTGGTCAACAGAAAGGGGGCAATTCTTCTCCATGATAACGCTTGGCCACATGTCGCACAATCAACCTTTCGGAAGCTGCATGAGCTTGGCTACGAAAATGTGCCTCACCCACCATATTCCCCTGATTTCTAACCGACCGGTTACCACTTATTCAAGCGCATCTGGATAGCTTACTCCGAGAAAAAAGCCTTAAAACCCAAGATGCTGAAATCACTTTCGATGGTTTCATCGTCACCAGAACTTTGGAATTTTGTACATTTGAGGTTCCCGTTTGCAAAAGTGTGTCAATGCAAATGGTTTTTATTTCGAATAAAAATGTTACGTTTGAGCCAAGATAGGTGCATTTGAAGCTTAAGATTACAAACCGCAATAAGTTTATTACCAACCTAATACGACACGCAGTCGATAGCGACAACATTGTGGAGATGGATGCCGCCAGGGATTGGACGTGAGCCAAGTGTGAGCCAGCAGATGTTGTCAAATCCGTACAGAGGTGAGTACTTGTCGATAGTGATATATTTTTCTCTATACTTTATATCTTTGGACAAACTGGCATTCCCCCTTTTTGAGAAACAGCCATAAATCTTCTGCGTGCATCATGAGTTAGGCTTGGAGGGGGCTTGAACGTGCAGTGAGTTTCCTTGTGTCCACACTTGTGGCATCTCTGACACACGTTTATCTTAAGAGCAGAATTTCGCAAAATTCCGCCCACCGCAATGCCAACAAGTATAAAGTGGTTTGCGTTGACGGAATCCCTTATGGTTGGCTGACGCGGTCGTGGTTCTAGAAATTGTTTGCACACCGTACCGGAAGAGAGGATAAATCGAATTCTCAACCATGGTTAATAAGCCGTTTGGATTCTGTAATAAAGGTTTGCAGTGTTGGTTTCAGGTTCCGCAGCATCATCCCAAATACGCTGATTAGGATTTCACCATCATTTGGATATTGTAAACTGCAAACCAATATCAAGCACTCAAACTGATCTTCAGTAAGCAGTCTCAGTATGAACTTGTAACAAACCCGTTTCACTGTGGCCGCGTGGACAATGGTAATGGTAGAAAATGATTGTGCGATGGGTTGTTGATTGGCCGTACATCGACGTGGAACTCGAGCAGCTGGTGAAGACATGTCCAAGATGCGTGCTTGTCGGTAAGGCACTGCAGAAAACGTATCTTGTCGGCCCTCAGCGACGAAATCCTGGGAACGCATACATGCTGATTTCTTTGGTCCTGCTAATGTACAGCAGTTGCTCATTGTTGTAAATTCTCACAGTAAATGGTCTGAGGTTTTCCGCGTTGAACAAGCAATCAGTGGTGCAACCACCAACGTACGGCGAAAGTCATAAAAGTGCTTGAAGCCGAGACGTGGAAGTTGCGCGTCGAAAACACGGACCACACCACAGCTCCACGTGTGGTCCCGTCAAGACATAGGCACATGGGCTCTGAACGCATACCAAGAACATTTAAGTATTGGAGAATCTACCTTTATTCTTGCTCGCACCTGGCCAGTTTGATCGTATTGACCGTATTCGATCACCGGTGCTTGCAGAGTATTGTGCACGTCTAGTGGAAACACCAAGCGAGGAATGCCGAGGTCCGCCGGTTGGTGTTCGGCAAGAAGCCGTTTGGTGTTTCACTCGAGTGTTTGCTGAATCTTAACCGCTTACAATGTCAATATTATGTCATCCCTATGCTCATTGACCGCCCTCTTCGGCGTGCAGTATACTCCGTGGCTACACCAAGTCGGCCGAAGCTGCGAGGTGACCGGTCGATGATGTGGCATAAAGGTATGGAGGAATTGATTAAGACAGTTGGTCAGGTGGGTGTGTGCCGTCTTCGTGGATGGGAGCCTACGTATGGTATACATCAGTATCTAAGGCCTCCATCGAACATGGCGCGGTAGAACAGCCGGTGATATACCTGAAATCGGTTTCTTGCATCTAGCTTAGAATTCCATTTCGATTAGTTTACGCAGTTCCTTCTTAACTCAGTTTTTGGTATGCTGTTTGCGTTCGACCTAGTTTTCTTACCATCGTTACTTACTTGCATCATAGCGACGCAAGTCGTGGCAACTGAGTCCACTTCACTTAAGCGCCCAGATGGTACTTGTGCAACTGAATTGAATTGGTAGGATCACCATGGTTGTCCAGCCAGCGATGATTCAGTGCAAAGTGCTAACGTGCTGCTGTCGATGGTGATTACAACGACGGACCTGTTAAATCTGTAAGCCACATGAAATGTTTGTAATGAACACTGTAGCTATGAGACCAAGGCATTACACAAGAACTGGGTAGAAAAGGTACAACGTATTTCTAAATTTGGCTCTAGAGGGCACACTGATGTACAAGATAGAGCATACGACTAAGTCTCCAATGCTCGGGTAGCGGGGGATAAGCCCTTCAGGGCGATAGTGATGTCGCGCCGCCGAGTAGGTGGCAAAGACTAGCAAAAGCACTTCGAGCTTTGGATATACGGTTCGTGATCTTATCTTCAATCCCACGGGCGCTGATACAACTTCCCAGGTAGTTGAATTTTTGAACGACTTCTAGCTGATCCCCAACAAGGGTCAGCGAAGGAGGCGCTCCAGGCCAATCTTGGAGGAAAGCTTTGCACCTCGATGGTGCAAAGCAAAGCCCGAAGTGGATGACAGCCAGTGCTAATCTGTTCAGTGCAGCTTGACACGTCTGGAGCTGTCACAGATTAGGGCAATATCATCGGCATACTCCAAGTCAAGAAGTCGTTCTCCTGGGAACAGATCCACACCTACTAAGTCATGTCCTGTAAATGCAATCTCCATGACTTCGTCAATAGCGAAGTTGAAGAGGAAAGGTGATAACGGGCATCCTTGTCTCACACCGTTGGAGATATTGAAGGGTGGCGACAGCTTGTCGTAAGGTCTCACTCTGCCCGTGCTCCGCAAAGATAATGCTCGGATAATATTTACATATTTTTCGGGCACACCTTTCCTGAGTAGACAATTACAAAGGGCACATCGATCAACCGAATCGAAGGCACCGTTGATGCTGAGGAACAAGACTACGGTGGACCGCCAATATGTGTGACGATGCTCCAACAGCTGACGCAAAGTGAAGATGTGGTCGATGCAGCCACGAACCCGACGACACCCGGCTTGCTCCTCCCGAATCTGGCTTTCACGAGTGTCAGTCAGTCTGTGAAGGATTATCGGGGAGAGTAATTTGGAGGCGATGGAAATCAGACTGATTTCCCTATGGTTGCCGCATTCCGAACGCGAGCCTCCTTTGAAGATGGGAACAATAAGGGAGCGGCTCCAGTCGGTTGGGACAGTTCCCTGCTCCCACAGTTTCACTAGCAACTCGTATAAATCATCCACGAGAGCAGCGCACCCGAATTTGAAGAGGGCTGGATGAAGATCATCTGGTCCCGCGGCCTTCTTTAACTTCAACAGTCCGATCCCACGTTCGACTTCTGAGCGAGAGGGCGGATCCAAAGGGACAGCCCACGGAGCAAGACGATCACTGGCCGGAGAGGAATCGAACAATTCCGGCCGATTAAATTGCTTTTCAAAATGCTCAGCCCAATGCTCTAAACGTTTTGACAAATTGTGGATAGGCTGTCTACTCTCGTCACAATTTGGTTCACCAGCACCAGGTCTCCTGCTGCCCGTTTCCCGTAACAGACGGAATAACTTACGATGGTTACCAAGGGCAGCCGCCACCTCCATCTCTGACGCACGAAGAGACCATCAAGATTCGCAGTCTCTCTTCAGGGTAGCGCGGAGTTTTGCCCGGAGCTCTTTACTAATTTCATTGTGTTCGCTTCCAGTCGGAATATGCCACCGAGCATCGATAAGTTCCAAAGACCGCGAAGAGACCCAATGTCCACGTTGACTCTTAGACTTACCACATGAGGATTTGCCTGCTGCTAATAAGGTCTAGTGAACATGCGACCAGTGAACATCAATTGTCTCTAGTGAGCGCTTACTCAACTCGCATGACAGCGCACTTTGATAGGGATTCAGAACAGCTGGTTTCACCAGTTGGCTGGTGTCAATGCGCTCACAAGGTAGTCGTGGGCGTCCGCCAAAACACATCCGCAGGTCAACACATACAAGTGCATGGTCGGTGTTCACACATGTGCTCCAAATCGAGCGACAGTTCTGGACGCAGCCTCTCCATTGGTAACTGATTGCAATGTGATCGATTTGCGTCCAAGGCTGGTGGGCGCCAAGTCATCCTCCGGCGAGTGCTGTGTCGGAAGTTAGTGCCCACAATAAATAAGCGGGCTTCTTCACACAAATGAAGTAACCGCTCACCGTTATCATTACGGGAGCTTCACCGTGCTGACCGCCCAGATGCATTTCATCAGTGGACAACTATCCAACTTGTGGGTTCAGATCCCCTGCCAGCACAAATGTGTCTGTGCTTCTTCTGTGGCAAAGGAGTTGGGTCAGTTGGCGGTAGAAGTCGTTTTTTACCGAATCATCGCTAGAGTTTGTGGGCGCATAGGCAGCAATGATGAATAGACACCTAGTAGTCCAGCGCGACTTCGAAGCTTTGAACGAGCCAGCCAATCGGACCGCACACATCCGGCTACTGATTGGGATCCAATCAACTAGAGCAGCTTCAGCCCGGGGACTTAGGGCAATGCCAACACCAGCTTGACCGGTGCTCGAAGCTGCATCGTCACCGGATAGGTGCAATGAGAAAATACAATTGGTGCCAGCTGAAGGGGATCGCAAAGTGAGCACAGAGCTCGAGTCTTGCAGGCGGGTCTCTGATAAGCAGCAGATATCGATTGAGAGGGTCTCCAATGTTCGAGCAAATGCTGCCTGTTGACCGATCTGTAGCAATGTGCGTACATTGAGGGACGCCAATCTGAAGGAGGATCGATAGCTCCAAATGGAAGCCGATGAACTGGAATGGACCGCTTGGTTAGACATGCACTTATCGGCAGGACAGGAGTGACGCTCCACGTTAGCATGTGGGTTGAAATCATAAGATAAATGCCTAGTAAAGCAGGTTGGGGGGAGGGCCAAGAATCGGGGGGTTGAAAACTGGGGGGATAAAAGTGAAGCTGGAACGGGACGATAAGGGTGAAAAAGAGTAAGAGGAGGAATAAGAAGATGGGTAGGCTTGAGCAGTAGCATCTAAACCCATATCCATCCGGCTCGATGCAGCAAATAGGGCACCGTTGATTATCCCCTGCGGTAGCCAGAGCATCAGAAATTTGTTTGAAGAGAAATTCATTGTATTGCGTGAGCAGGATACTGTCAGGTTGCCCAGGAGAACGATTATGGTTCTCAATCAAAGCCTTTGGTGCAAAAACCTTACCGCAAGACAGCGGATTTGGCGTTGGGCTACAAGGAGTCCGTTTTAAGGAATAAGGAGCCACGCTCATTCCAACCCCCAAACTGGAGGACCAGGATGCTGAGTTTGTCTGGCCTCTAACCACTGACCAATCTGGTATGAGTGACTCTGAAGGTGCAAAAGCACCACCCAGAATAGCTCAATGGATCATTGAGGCACACAAGCCATCGAACCACAGTAAGGTCCAGCCTCATTGCGATGGATGTGAGCTAGTGAGAGGAATTGAACAAAAAATGATGTCGTTTGATAATTAGAAATGTAACTGTCTAAAGCACATGAAGTAAGTTCTCAGTTGGGAACAGTTAAATAGGGATGGAGTGGTGAAGCTGTGTCTTCGAGAGGGATATTCCGGCTTGTGTGGATTCTAAAACGTTGACGCGACATTGCAATCCAAAGGCGCAATGCATGCTACGGAGGATAGGGCAACTGGAGAATTTATCAAGGGTTAGCTACGCTGCATAGTAATTGCCAAACAGCAAAATGAGGCCCACCGCAGCATACAGTTTACAACAGGGTAGCACACCAACGCCTTCATGATGAGACGCCGAAAGCCGGAGAAAGTTGGGGAAATGGAGGAATATTGGTTAGGGTCAATGTGCAAAGTCTTCTGACAACTCTCCGAGAAGCTGATGTGCACCAAATCGCTAGAAAATACAGCACGTTATCGGTGACATATTTCGTCAAAGTCTATCCAGGTAAAGCGAACAATACGGAACGATCAACAAAGTCGAAAGTGATTTTGAAATGGTGTACCACATATATTGCTGACCTGCGGCACATACGTCACCATTCTGGCATCTGTTGCGGAGTAAAACTGTGATCATTGTAGCTCTTTCACTGTCAAACATCACCCGGGACACTGGTCCTACGGTAGGGCGGGGAAGGGCGTGAGTGTAGGTGGCCGAGTAGTCTGCGCGCCTGGCTTGCAATTACAAAGTCACTAGTCGGAAACCCGTAGGGGCGGGCGTCCTCGCGGTATACTCAGCCCACGCGCGACTGGTGGTGGTTGCGCGGCAACGAAGCGCCGTTACGGTGTACAGCTGACGCTTTACTTTATTTTAATGAGTACGGGGATCAGGCTGACACTCCTGTGCTTAATACAGAAATGGATGCTGCTATTCCTAGATACTGTCACTATGATCAGCTCACACTAGTTGTATGGGACAGCTCCGGTTGAACAGGGTCAATACCCAGCAGGGCACCTCTTCACCATATTCAGATATAGTGTGTAAGAAGGAGTCCAAACAAGTAGTATGGGAGTGGTTGAAAGATGGGAACACTGGTAGTGGATCGTGTTATGAAACAAACGCTAGACTGACGGATCAATTGCGTGCAAAATAGAAAATTCAAGTCAAGAATGAGCCGTTATACACCCAGAAAGGCGAATTTTCGACTGAGTTGTTGGCAGACACCACCTAAATGTAGGTTTTGGAACGCCTTTAGGTTGGTTGTTGTTGTTACAGTTCCATTGGAATCGCCTGATTTTGAACATAAGCTCAAAGACAAACCTGATACTGGGACTCAGACACGACAGCGGCGGTTGAGCTTTCTGACCAATCGCATTCACTTTCCATGAATTTGGCGAGCTGATGTACTTACTCAGACGGTAGTTGCCAGCTGCATTAAGGAAAACAACATCCAGTGTGCGACAGCTGTGAAGTGCTCTTCTCATTCGATGTTATCAAAACGCATTGAGTAAACTAATCGACAGAACACAGCACTCAAGCTGACGCGATGAAAAGTCGGAACTAGTGCACCAGATACGCCGATAGCATAGAAATCGAGGTAAAACAGGAGACTCCGACGTAATTACAAGCGCATGAGATACTATTGGTCGCTTGATGTAAATATATTGCGTGCTCTCCGTGTGATGCATGCAATTGTTCACAAGGAGCTTACATAAAGGGGATGAGGGGGGAAATGATTTGGAAAATGATTTGGAGTACAACGGACGTAAAGATCAAATGTGAGCGAGACTAACCTGCGCATTGTCTGGGTCAAAGGAGTCCACAATGGACCCGGTGCGAAAGTCCTGGTTTCCCAAAGCGACTTGAAAAGCGCGCACGCTGTCCGCTGTAACTCTGTAAAGTAAGAAGTATCACAGTAGAAGAATATAGGTATGCACATATAAGCAGTCTGAGTTGATAAAAATATGCAAGATTTCGTACAATGAAGATCGCCAGGAAAAATAACAATCAGCAGCAGCTTGTGTATCCCGAGAAATCACGGCCAAAAGCATAGAATTGGCTACTTAGGCAGACAGTTAAATAACGTGTCTTAAAAAGGGTTAGGCATCGCCAGTGCGAATCACATGGTTTAAAAACAGCCATCAAAGCTGCTCACCTGTCGGTGGTGTTAACTAGTGAGTCGAGCTTAAAATTTTCTACTGTGACATGGAGTACGTCAAGTGACCTCGTGGACTCACAGTCTGTGTGT